TAAATCTTTTGGCGACATCGGAAGAGGGTAACAAGTAGCGGTTTTTTTTGGGTGTGTAAGAACGAGAGAGATAACCATAACATAGCAAGATGTAAGCAAACGTAAGAGCTAAGGAGAAAAATAATTTTGTTTGTTTGTGTGCCTGCTGTGATAAAGGGGGATAGAAATATCAGCGTGAATATTTACATATGTAAGTAAATATGGAAATACGGGAGACTTTAGCCCACTCCTTTCTCTACTCATCCTCCTGCTGTTGGCCATCCGTCAAAACTGTTGCTCTGTTGCACTGTTAACATTCCATATCTTTAGTGAGAACTTGATCCACTTGTTATTCCGTCTGATCGATATCAATTGATTGGTCAAAGCCCCCCCTGCCCAGCCTCAGCCCCAGCGATTAGTAGGTATTTAAGTATTAACTTTCCATTTGATTAACAAAAGGAATTTCCCGAGCCCGACAAGTTATGACCCACTTGACGCCAATTTCCATGCTCATTATTCAGAGTTAATTACGTTGTCAAATAAAGCGTTTTGCGACGCCATTCCTCCGCAACATAGCTCAAGGCAGCAGCTCGACACGCTGCACCCCCATTTTCTTTTCTCGGTTTTGGTTTTGGAGAGGCGTGAAAATTCTATTAACTTTGTTGTAAATAGACAAAAAATACGCGTGCAGGAGGAACCCCCACCAGCAGAATCTGTGGGCCCAACTATTTCCATTGAACCGAATTTCAACAAGGGGCAAACGGCAAACAGCGGAAATTCGTTGCGATTTTTGCGTCCTTTAGTCAAGCTTATGCTAAGACCACTTGCCGTCCTAGCAAATTGTTCTAATTAAGAAGCCCGACTCGGCGACAAAGTTGGCCAAGACCAAGACATGGCCAAGTAGAGCGTTTGGGGCAGGTAAAATGCCAAATTAAAATCGTAATGAAGCACTTAAGTTGTGTGTTTTCTGAGACAGACCTTTTTTTCAGTGCCTTTCGAGAGAGTCTCTCAATTTTAGCATGGAGTATGTTTTGTGGAGGTTCCTTGCCTTTCAGTTTCCACCCAAAATCTAGACTGGCTTTGCCTCCAAATAGGGTATTAGGCCCTCTGTTAATCGCATCTTGTGATGTTCCTCTTAATTTTGCCATCTTGCTGGGGTTGTGAGTGCTGGCTGCTCGGGCAGCTCGTGCTTCGTGGGGGAGGATTTGAGATTCAAGTGGCTCCGGGAATTAGCGTCAAGTTCTCGCTCTCGGCTGTCTTTCTTAAGACTTCCACATAATTAAGTTGTAGCCATTGAAAGTGGGCAAAGGATTAGGGCCCAGTCCTGTCCAGTTCAGTCCAGTCCGGAGTCCTCTGTCTGTCCGCATTAATTGAGTGTCATGGCGAATGCAAAATCAGCTTACGCCCCCGGCAGTACATAACCATCAACAGAGAGAGGAAGATATAAAGAGAGAGAGAGTGATTGGGAGAGAGAGATAAATTGTCTTTCAGATGACAGTTCCCTTCTGCTTTGCATTTGCACATGGCCGTGTCACAATGGTTAAATAGATTTTTAATCTAGTTTAATGGCTGGACCATTAGCTGGAATCGACTGTCGGATTTGTCCATTTCTGCGGAAGATCTGCCTGGACAGATCAGAGATTAACTGTCGGTTGAGTTGGCAGTTGCACTTGCACCACCGACAACTCAATCGAAATTCTAAATCCAATTTAATAGCCAACCATTAGCTGGGGGAGGCATACATAAGAATGTATGTATGAAAGGATATGAAGTGTATGTTTTTCCTCCCCCTTTTCTTTCCTCATTGATTAGCCCTGGAAGGCCCTGACCCTGCTAGTGCTCCTTATCCCCCACGTCCACTCTTTCAACCTGCCACCTAACCGACCCCTGGTCAATATTTGTTTGCTGTTTGCTGCGCTTGGGTTTGATTTTCTTTGCCTTTGTAGCAGCAGCAGCAGCAGCGGAGGAGCGAGCGAGTGTGTGGGTGCGGGCCAGAAAACTTTCGCCGCAAGACTCTAACACACACACACGCGCCTCCCAGTTGTGGGGGGCTTTTGAAAATGCTGGGGATATTCCATGGGTAAAAAAGAAAACATTTTTATGAAAATGTTTTATTTTTACTTTGAGTTTTTTTTTATTTTTTTTTGTTTGCTGCAAGGGCGGAAAATTCTCTGTTTGTTTTGGGCCTCTCGTTCCTGCATTGCTGCTAATTGAAGCTGAATGTACGGACTGCTGGCCCTGCTGGATTTCGGGGCTATTATTCATATGTATGTACATATGTATGTAAACTGCCACATGCGGCAGGGAGGAAGAGGGACTTGGTGTGGAAAGTGCGCAGACAGCAACGGTTTCAGCGGACGCTGCTTGTAAAATGGAAAACTTAATCTAAAAAAAATCAATCTGCAATAAAAATAAAATTAAGCAACGGCTCGTGAAAATCCCGGAGACGATGCGACGGAAGGCACTCAAAGAAAAGCGGTGAAAGCGCTGTGGAGGAATATGGGGGGGAGAGTAATGGCGCAGGAAGCTGCCTAAAGAGGAGAACAGAGGACACGCAGGACCCTAAGCCGAAAGGCGAAAGGTGTGCGTCAGGATTACGCGGCATTTCGAGCTGGGGCCATAAAGGCGTGAAAGGCAGACAGTCTGTTGGATCGGATGGGATGGTCGAGGGTCCAAAGGATATTCATAAATAAATATCTGCAGGCATACAAATTGATAAGCTGCCTGCCGGGCCAGCAGCCCGTCCTTGCTGTCTGTCATGAAGGGTCCTGCCGTAAGCCTCACAGCCCCAAAAACAACAACGGCAACAACAGGATGACAGGGCCTCGCATCTTAATCGACAGAAAACGCTGCATGCCTTTTTGGAGTTCCACGGAATCGCCAGCCAACCGCCCCGGCTGGCTCCCCTTTTGAAAGGAGAATGCCAGGGACTAAGGATTAAGGACTACGGATGAAGTACAAATACCCCGTACCTACCGATGACTCGCTGGCTGGCTGTCTACCAAGTAAACACTACCATCTTACTCCTCGTGCGCTGCTTTTTCTCTTGCTTTTGCAGAATTCTAATGCCGTTCGTCCTTCGGCAGCCGCTGCTCCTTTCACACGCAATCCATGCCCTGCCCGGCATTGGCACATTTTCCTCTTGCTGCCACCTCAGCGTTATATACACTTCAAGGCGCAAAAGGTATTGGGATTTTGAAGAGAATTTTTGGAGAATGGAGAAATGCAGTTCCTGAGCTATATTTTTCCTGCAGCGAATATAATTTTAAAGATTGGATTACTTAATACAGCTGCCATAACAATGGACAATGGTTGTAGAAGGGTATCCTTGTCTCGAGGTTCCCGAGCATATACTTTTTCTCTGTTATTTTTTTCCTCTATTTTTTTTTTGCTTCTGCTGATTTTCTCTTTCTCTATTGGTTCCGTTTTTACTCCTGCGTCCATTGAATTTTACTGTGCGCTCAAATTGTTTTGGTATTCAAGCTAAAAGCACACGAATGCTTCTATCGTATGCCACCGCCACCGCCACTGCCACCGCCTCCTTCCTGCGTGCCCTGCGTGTCCTGCGTGAGGTCCTGTGGCTCCTGTTTCTTTTGTTGCTGTTGTTTTTGCTGAAGTGCTGCTGGCTTTCCATTGTGGCGTTTGCTGCTGGGGCTCCTCCTGTGTGGAAGGTTTACTAGCTGTTGCCCCGTGCGATGTTGCCCCGCCCCCTCGACGATATGGTGAGAGTGGCCTTCCAGCATATCCTGTTGCTTGCGAAAACGCAACCAGTTGAACATTTCCAGTGGCACTCTCTCTGGGATTCGGCCCTCGGCTCTGTTCTTCGGCTTTCAATGTCGGCCTTGGTAGACTCTCTCTCTCAATTTGTTGCGCTCCCTCCCTCCTTTGCTGACATTCTGCCTGTCTCTCTCTCTCTCTCAGTATCTCTCGTGAGCTTTCGGCTGTTGCTCTTGGCACATGTTTAACGCGCAATTATTTTGGTCCTGTTGCGCTTTTTCCCTTCATCTGTGTGTGTGTGTGTGTGTGTGTGTATATGTACAGATTTACATACATATGTATGTATATGTGTTGGACAGTAAGTGAGTGGGTTTATGTGTATGGGGAGTGGTGCTGCGTCTTTGTGTGCAAATAAAAGTCAAATTTTGAAGTTAATGAAAGGATGTCACATCATAATATGTTATGGATTTTTTTCTTTATATTAGGTATTAATAATTCTAATATTTCAGAAAAAATTTTCAGATTTCTCCACTTTTCCAAATCCCCCAAAATCATAAAAAATAATACAAATTTAATAAGTAAACAATGATTTTAATTACAAATAATAAATGATTTCCTGCTGCAAATTAAGCAATAATTAATTATCTTAAACTCCATTAAAAAATTCCAAATAATTCGGCTTTGAATTCAACACCATTCAGAGGCTCCATCGTGAGTCGTGGCACGCGACACCGACATCTAAACCCACACCAATATATCATCATCGGCAGGAGTCTCCAGGGGCAGCAGCAGTAGTCATACCCGCCATCGTATCAGCGTCTGGGCTGTGTGGTATGCAACAATTATGGAAAAGTCTCCACATCGGTATATTCCCATTCGTGTAGAGAGAGCGCTGCGGCGCACCTAAAGCAAATGCGTGGGCGTGGGAGGCGGGGCCCCTCATGGCCAGAAGGACTTACACTGACACATAGCAGGAGCAGGAAGAGCAGCAGGAGCAGCAGGCAGCTGCCGCCTGCATCCGCATCCAGGGAAATCGTTTAGCTGTTGCTTTCGTGCGGGTTCCAATCCCCCTCTCGAGACGAGACACGGCTCGGCTTCGGGTCGGCACGATGTTTGCAAGGTGGAAATTGATATTACTTTTTAATGCGCTGCCAGCTGTGTGGCTCGCGACGACGAGCTTTCCAGTCAGAGCCTCCTCTGTGTCGGTGTCTGTGTGGGAGAGAAAGCGTGAGAGTCGCACGACGCACGACGGTTGTATGGCAACAGACTGCCAGCCTCGTCACAGTTCAAGTTGAACCGTCTCGTGAGCAGGACACAAACCGCGGGACCTGCCACTGAATAGAGAGCGAACAGGCCCTGAAGCAGGCACCACAGTAGCAGTAGCAGTAGAACCACCAGCAGCAGCAGTACCACCAGCAGCGTCACCAGCAACAGCATCGCCAGCACCAGCAGGATCGGCACAAACCCAAGACGAACCTACCTGCAATGTTTCCCAACAAAAAAAACAACAACGAAAAAAACAACTTTCCGGAGAAAAGGTGTGTGTGCCAGTGCCGTGTACCATCTCTAATTCGTGTGTTTTTTTTTGTTTTTTTTTTTGTATTTTTTTTTGAAGCAACAAATCCAGTAGTCAGTAATATGAATGAATGAAGAATTCCTTTGAAGAAAAACAGCTTCCGAGAGCAGGTGTCGGAACAAAAACGTTAACTAAAAGGAAAACTAAAATTGAAGCTAACACACACACACACGCATACGCTACCGCGTACCTGTCCGTAATAGAAGTACAAGAATATAATTCAATATAACAAAATATAACTTTTAGAGAAGAGACCTTTAACAGAACAAGGAATCCAAGGGCATTCCCCCACTCGAATCACTTGAAATCAGAGGTAAGTCTCCCTCAAAAAATATATTGAAGTGCCTATAAAACATTTAGTGTTACCTATAAAATATTGAGCGTTATGGAAGGCCACCCCGCCTGTCAAACAAATAGTTTAATTTCCGGTCTGGCCATCGGGCACACATCCGGTTTAAGTTTTTATTTCCGTCTCGACTTGGGCTGTTCGTTGCTCGGTATTTAGTGCTTGGTGCTCAGTGCTCATTGACATGTGCACAAAATATGATTCAATTGGAAGGGGTCTTTTTGTTGCGTGCTTTTTTTTACTAAGATCGTTAATTAATTTCTGCAGAGCCGAAAAGTTCCGAGCTCCGACTGAAAGTCGGATTTGGAGTTCCGTACAAATTGGAGTTTTATTGATTTTTACTTTTATAGGGGGGAGGGGGGGGGGGGGGGGGGGGCTGGGGGATTGTGCACAGAAGTCAAAAGGACCAACACCTCTCGGACGTCCGAAATAAAAAAATAAATAAGTGAGGGTGGCCATTGGGGGATTAGGCACAAAAGTCAAAAGAACCAGCACCTCTCTGACGTCCGAAATAAAAAAAATTAATAAAGCATGAAATTGAAAACATTATAAAGGCGATTATTTATTGATACTTTGATGTCGCAGCCACTCCTTCATTGCTATTCCCATGCCCCCTCCCTCCAGACTTAATTAATTTATAATTAAGTTAATCATTCGCCAGAAGCAGCAGCACTTCCTTCGATGGTTGAGAGGCATTTTGTCTTTAAGTTTGGCTTGCACATGGGTCCTGGCAGTGGGACTTAACTTTAAGCTGTCTACTCTACCTGCTGGAATGGAATTTTTTTTTTTGCGATTGAGACTTTATGACTGGCCTGCCGTATCCGATGGCAAAGAAACGGGGAGTGGGTGGGGTAGGGGTAGGCAGAACCATCGATTCTGGGTGTGAGGATTTTCAAATGCCTACCAGCCTGCAAAGGGACTCCGCTTGGCCAACTGTCATTACTCTTGGTTCCTAATCCAAGTGGAAAAGTTTACGACGCATGAACCCACGAACATATACATACATATATGGTGGGGCACCTGGCACTGTCTGGCTAAAGTCTGCCCCAAAGAGCTTTTATTATGCCATTTTAATTTAGATTATTATCAATCAGTAATAAGCATTTTGTCCACCTAAACAGAAAGCACCACCAACAAAACAAAGAACATTAACTGGTACTGCCATCAAGGGCCACTGGGCGGACATTAGCTGTATTTTTCAGTACCCAAAAGTGTGTTTTATTGCAATTTTAAATATAAAAAAAGATAGTACTGTAGTAGAAATATATAGGAAAAAGAAAAACTCGAAACTGTGAGCTTTTTTTTAAAATTAAATAACGTATGTATATTGTTTTTGGACAAATATTTCCATAATTTTGAAACAAAAATCAATTTTTCCACAAAATGTAGAAAAACAAAAGTTTGTTAAAAGCTTGTTTTGGAGTATTATTGAAATTTGTGGCATGTTTTTATTATTTCCATATTTATTTACAAGAACGAATTATAATATTTATTTATATTTGACGCATGTTTTCGGCAATTTCCATTGGTTTTCTATTTGGCATTTAAAAGGAGTAAACAAAGTGGTTTAGTTTTTCCTGTTTTTCCCGCTCGCTACGGGCTATATGCAAATCAGCAAGCAGGAAAAACTCATTTCAGATTCCAAAAACAACAAAAAAGCAAAGACTGGGCAGTAAGGGAAACCGAGTGGGATACCATTCCCCCCCCCCACTCCCCCCCCCCCCCCCCTCTTTCTTCGTTAGCATAATTTTGCGTCTTATTTTGTTGGCAATTTATATGCGCAGCGTAGTGACACACTCATTTTAATTGAAAGCAAATAAAATACTCTTTAAAAAATAATGTGACAAAAGCTGTAATACTGACGGCAACAGTTATCCGTGCTGACAGCGGCAGCAGCAGCAGCCTCGGAAGGCATCGGAGTGGCAGTAGCAACCAGTGGACGGGACAAAACGGGCGATCTCCTAACAGGCTGATATCTCTCTCTCTCTCTTTTTTTGTCTTACTGAATCTTAGTGGCATTTCAAATAACTCTGTCTCTATCTCTCTCTGGTGCTATCTTTATTGCCACTGACAGGGTATTTGCTATCCTGTGGCTGTGTCCTGTCCTGTCGAAACATATTCATTAATGTCTCTAGAGTGACAGTGTTTAGGAATGTTGTACATGCGCTTGGGGCACGTTCCGTCCTGTCCCTACTCGTTCCGTTCCAGTCCTCATCATATTCGTATCCATGCAAAACACTTTCCCTTAGATGACATGCCACACAAGATCTATCTGCGTCCACAAAGGACACTCCCCGCATGGGTGCTGTGCTCTGCTGTCTGAGCCTTTTGTTGCTTCCCCCTCCCCGTGCAGCGCAATCTGGTTGGCTTTTAATCAAAAGCAAAAATTAATTAACTTTATTCCTCCACAGAATCATCCTCCTTCCTCCTCCTTCGACGATCACTCCTGCTCCTGTTCCTATTGCTGCTCCTGTTCTTGCTCTTTGGAGGCATCTCTGATTTAGCTTTATTCAGTAATGAGTGAAAAACTCCCTGTGGCACTGGGTGTCTGCCTTCTGTGGAGATGCAAAAGACCAAAAATTGCCCCTTCATTTGCACAACAATTTTTAATAAAGCAGCAAAGTGACCGCATAGCACGGTAGGCACTGCACGGCAGAGCAGACCGTTTTTCCATGATGTTTCTTTCAGACTGAACTAAGGGTAGAGGAATTTGGGCGGATCTGCAGATAAAAAACCAGCAAACAGAATAAAGCAAAGCGAATAATGCCAGGCAACAGGAAAAAATATTTATATATATTGTATATATATGTATATATTTTTGTATGTGAAGACTACCAGACCTTACACATATTGTTCGCCTGTCCAATGCACACACACACACACACACACAGAGAGAGAGAAAGAGAGACAGAGAGAGAGAGAGAGAGAGAAAGAGAGAGAGAGTATGAAAGTGGAATGTAATTAATTGAATTTCTCCGCCATGCCATTCACCATGCACATTTCCTTTAAAGTCGGGGGCTCAGTTTTTTGCTGCATGCAAAGTGCCGGGTTTTATGCACAAAAAAGTCAAAATCAAATGGTAATAAATGGAGCCTCGGCAGCCTCATGCATCAAAACCCCTCAAATATGTCGTTGGCAGTCGTCGTCATCGCTTTTGGGGCACTCCTCTATTTACTCCTGCGACTGGCTACTGGGGCCTGCGGCTCGACTCAATTTTCAATTAAAATGTTTACCCACTGTGTGGCCGGGTACTAATTTGCATACGTGAATAAGGGTAAGGGCTGGGAAATGATTCAACACAATTCAAATGCCAACAAAAAAAAAAGCGCTGACTTAAATGTGAGCTAACTTCAAAAAAATGTGCCTTTTAAATGGAATATGTAATTAATATTTATTAATTTATTGCGCTAGTCAAATTCAATTTATAATTTTAGAATGAAAGTAAATTTCTATATTTAAAGATTAAATTATTGTTAGCTTCGGATTTACATACGTCAGTCAGAAGGGAACCTTGGTCCTTTCAAGGGCAATGACATCCATGAAAAAAAGCAAGCATTAGGCAACCTTGAGGCAGCCCTACTTCCGGCAACCGAAGGTGGCATCTATTCAGATGCACTCTCCCTAAGTTTCCAATGATGTTGCAGAGTCTCTTCACAAATATTCTTTAAAATAAAGTGTACCCAGGACACTTCTTCAACATTAAAATATTTCAAAATATCATATGAGTTGCTGCTGCGACCGCAACTCTTCATTAATACCCGATAAATAGTCAGTATGGCTCTCCTCCGCCAGATGGCGAGTAACAACGAACGATAAAGAGTACGTGCGAGAGGGATAGAAAACCAGTCGGAACGTGTCGTCGGTCGCTGCGTAGACACTGCAAATCGATTTGTTCCTTTTGGTTGTAATAATGATTCGACCTGATCCAGCTTCGGCGTTTTGAAATACACTTGTAACAGTCACATATCACAGAAGTCTGGATACCAAATTTGGTTGCTCTAGCTCTAATAGTCTCTGAGATCTAGGCGCTCACTTTTAGCGATAGGCTAAGTCGACCATTAAATGTGTGTGTTAGAGAGAGATCGAGCGAGAAAGAATTGATTTGTTTTCATCATTCTGGCTATAGTAATAATACGATCTAATTCAGATGCAGCCCGGCAGATATAGTCATTCTCTACGATTCTGCGGTTTTGGTTTTCTGGTATCTTTAAAATTGTGGATGCCACAGATTATCGTCCTTTGTGGGGGCGTAAGTTTTGAAATAATCTTGTAACATTGATATATCATAGATTTCTGGATACAAAATTTCGTTGCTCTAGCTCTTATAGTCTCTGAGCACCATGCGCTCATAGCGACGGGCAGACGGACGGACGGACGGACGGACTGGAATTATTGGATAAAAGTAGTTTTATACAACAGGAACGCTGTTATATTTCTTAATATCAGCACTCACAACCACGCCCAGAACGGTAATCGATTGATGAGTATCGGCTGGTGATCAGAAGGTTGCCAAATAACTTGCACCGCTTCTAGTGTTTACAGTTATTCTGAAATGCACCACTGATTTCTTTATGATATCCATAAGCCTCTTTGAGTAATTTTTCGGCAGCAGCAGATTAGCCGCTTGACAGAGACAAAATGTTACAAATTTTGCAATTTCCTTGTGCCATTAAGAGTCGCTTCTTCGGTCATTCTGTGGATCTGTGTGATGGCTGATGGCGGTTAGCAATGCCATTACCATTACGCGGACTAACTTTAATATCCGGTACACTAACACATACATACGCAGAGAGAGATACACACAGGGATACAGACGGAGACAACAACAGAAGGTAGATATTTCATGGTGTTTCTAGCCCTGGCCCTGGCCCTGTCCCGTGTTTGCATTTTGTGAAAAGCGACCCTGGCCCGCGTCCAACTCAAAGCACCACCTTTACCTCTATCTATTCTGCCCAATTGTAATCTCT